TAAAATTAAAAACACAACAAAATCAAATTCTAACACAAGCAAATCATTTAAAATCCTAAATTTTTAAATAAAATCATAAACTAACATAGACACATATTTCAAAATCCTAAACTAAATCATCAAAATCATTCATTACCCAACAATACAATTAAAGTAAAATCATTCAAAATTCTAAATTTACCTAAAAGTAATTTTTCATTAACTTTTACATTCATTCAAAATGTAATAATAAAATAATAATAAATTATTGTCAAATTTCATCCAATTCAAACTCATTAACTAAAATAAAAATATTTGCAAACTCGCAAACTCCATAATAGAAAATAAAAAAATAAAAGAGTCTTAAGTACGGGCAAATTCTTGCGGATGTGAGTAAAACTCGCAACTCACAATAATACTATATTTTAAACTATACCGGATTGCATTATGTCTATGAAACTGCCTATTTATACACAAATCAATTCGAGTTTGATGAATTGTGCAGTTCAAATAATCTTATACCCAACCATATGTTGTGTTTTGAGAAATTGATAAAAAATTAATTTTTTAATTTTTTAATTTTTTTGGTGACTTTTTTGACCAAAAAAATATTGATTTCTTTGGTTAAAAACACTGACTGCTTTGACTGAAAAAAACTAAAAAACTGACTTTTTTTAACTTTTTCCCAAATTGTCCCTATGTCACCATCCGCGTCTCTTTGGTCTCTCTAAAGAAACGTGATCAACAAGAAAATCAAAAAGCAGGTTGTCACCATATGGTTTTTTTTTTTGGTTACAGTTTATTAACATTATAAGTTAAAATTTAATAATCTAAATGAAAAAATCAAAAGCATTTTCACTGAGTTTCTGAAAATTATTATTTTTTAACTTATTTAAATTATTTCTATCTAATAAATTATAAACAAAAGTTATACTAATATAACAAGACTTTTACAATAATTAAAAAAAAAAAACTTAAATAAATTACACCAAACAACAGTATCAACTTCCATCACTTTTCCATCTCCACAATCTCCTTTCAATTGTTTCCCCACAAAATCCACAAACTCATCACTGATTTTTCTTTATACTTCTTACTGTTTCTTTGGCTTTGATTATGGACCACGTTGTTACAACGCAGCTGATTTTTTTTCTTTTTTTTTTTTTTTGGTACATTATTTTCTCAAAATTGATCAAAAAAAGCTTTCAAAGTTTGATTAAACAACTGACACAATCCGATTCCATAATCAATACATAGCGATATTTTTAAGAAAAATATCAAATCAGTGACATTTTTAAAACAAAATTAAACATTGCTGATATATTTTATAAATATTAATAATTAAAATAATAAAATTTTCATGTATATATAATTGTTTTTTAAAAGTTATATTGGGGTGTAATTACCCCATATTTTTATTGGTGTATATAATTGTACAATTTGCTCCAATTAGCTTTGTTCGATTTCATTTTCAAAAATTCTGAATAAAAAAAAAAGAAAGTAGTTTCAAAAAATAAATACTAAAAAATTATTTTTAATTTTTTAAAAATTATTTCTTCACCAAAATGATAAAATCATGTGAAAAATAAGGAAATTATATATATATATATATATATATTTTACACCAAATTAATTTGTAGTTTTTTTTGAAAATTTCGGAAAGTGATTCTAAAAACAAAACCAATCTAAAAACGCATTTTGTAGATTATAAAAAAATAATAATAAATAAGAAACAAGGGCCTAAATCATCAATAATGAGTTCTTTAATAAATAATTGAGCGAATTACACTGATGGTCCCTATAGTTTAAGCCTTGTGTCACTTTGGTTCTTGACTTTTTAATTGTGACACATTTGACTCTAAATTTTGAATTTTGTTCTAAATGAGGACAATTGAATATATCATTACTCAATTTTAAGGGCAAAGTCGTCCATTTGATAAAATATAAACTAATTTGACAAAAATAAATATCAATAAAATACTTTTGAATTTTTAAAATTTATTTCTACTCACTAAAGATAAAATTATATAAAACTGATAATTTTTTTAGACATTTATTTATTTATTTATTTTACCAAATTTATTTTTATTATATGCTTGGATTATAATCTTGTAATGGGTGGTTGTTTTTATTTTTATTAAATTAGTTTTTATTTTTTCAAAAGTCAAATATGACGATAACTTTAAAAACACAAAACTAAAAATATTTCATATATTAAATATATCGATTGCACATTAAAAACTTAACAACTACCTATTATATGATTATCATTCAAACACATAATAAAAACTAATTTGGTAAAATAAATAAATGTCTAAAAGATTTATCAATTTTACATAATTTTATCTTTGGTGTGTAGAAATTATTTAAAAAATTCAAAAATATGTTTTTGACATTTATTTTTGTCAAATTAGTTTATATTTTACCAAATTGACGACTTTGCCCTTGAAATTGAGCAATGATATCTTCAATTGTCCTTATTTGTAACAAGATTCAAAATTCAGGCTCAAATGTGTCACAATTAAAAAATCAGAGATCAAAGTAACACGAGACCCAAATTATAAAGACGGTTAGTGTAATTCACTCTAAACAATTTAAAATGCGTTAATTTAAAAACGATGTAAATGTGCAATGATGCATGGTTATCCTAATTTATGCCATCTTTTGTTTTATTTCAAAAAACAAGGGCCTACCATTATATATAATTTTCTTAAACGAGTTATAATTTGATCTAAAATCCTTTAAATATCTTATTCTTTAAGAGAAAAAAATTTAAAAAACTTTTTGAAAGTATTCTGACCCTAAATCATTATCTACATGATCAAGTGATTAAAATTATTTAAAGTTACTAATTTTTGGTATGTAAGATTTTTATTTTATCAAAATATTATTCTCCATGGCTAAAAATTGCTGACAATACATAGCCTCCGTTTGGAAAGTGGGTTGGCTTTTTGGCTTTTTGACTTTTTTGACTATTTTAGCCTGGGCTTAAAAGCTTGATTTGGGAAGGACTTTTTGACTTTTTGGCTTTTTTGAGTTTTTTTGTGAGATAAGAATGTAATGATTATGGGTTGGATGTGATGTTTTGTTTATTATGGCTAAAATAGTCTATTTTATTTTTTGTGGCTAAAATAGCTAAAAAAGCCTGCAAACCCACTTGCCAAACATAGGCATAAGTGCATAAGTCATGACTGCATCATAGCGGTGCCCTAATTTAGGCTATGTTTGGTTTCATTTTGAAATTTATTTTGTGATTTATTTTTGTTGAGAAATTTAAAAGAAATTTGTTGAAATAAAATCGGGAGGACGGTTTCTCTCCCGTTTGCAAATTTGGGCTAGAAAAATTGCTGACAATACATAAGTACATAAGTCATGACTGCATCATAGCGGTGCCCTAATTTAGGCTATGTTTGGTTTCATTTTGAAATTTATTTTGTGATTTATTTTTGTTGAGAAATTTAAAAGAAATTTGTTGAAATAAAATCGGGAGGACGGTTTCTCTCCCGTTTGCAAATTTGGGCTAGACCATCCAATCTTAATAGTGAGCTGATCTTTTTGGTCTAAATTCAATAATTCAAATTGTTTATATTTTAAGGTTTGTAGAGTAAATTATTCATACAAAAAATTGAGTTGATCGGATGATGATAATCATATGCTCAAAATAGTTTTGTATGCAAAAAAATGGATGATAACTATGATTTTAAGTATAGCCATTCATGTTTTTTAATACACAAACATGAGGTTATCATTACTCAATCAACTTAATTTTTAGCATAAATGATTTATTCGGTGTACTCTGAAATATAATGACTCAGATTATCAAAATAAAATTCTAAAAAATCTCATGAATTTATATCATTTTCAATTTAGTTTTGATGTTTTTTTTTCTGCCAAATTTAATTTTAGCATATTCTGGCTGGAAAATTTTGACCTTTAAGGCCTTCAAAATTGACCATGCTTGAAATTCTAGAGAAGGGGGGCGAGGGCAACGCACATGGCTTTGGTGGCATCCAATAACAAAAGGATAAAACATGTGGTAAGAAAATGGCCCCATTGATTCAACCTATGTACATATAATATAAAAAATATTTTTAAAAAATAAATAAAGCAGACAAAATAAATGAAAGTATAAAAAACAAAAAAAAAAACAAAACAAAGGAAAGGAAAGTAAAGATTCAAAGGAAAATGGAAAGTAGTTTATGATGGCCACCCCTCCTAACAAGAGACAAACAATAAGTGGGATTCCCTCACCTCACCTTGTCCACTTTTCATTTTTTTTAATGCTATATATTATCAAAGTTTGTGAAAAAATTACCTAAAAAATGAGATTAATGATATATATTTAAGTTTGTAAAAAATAAGTATACCCAAAATAATTATTTTTCATAGATGCACTAATATTTCCGGGATATGTAGTATTATTGTTTTTTTCGCTTCTTTGTTTTTTGAATTTTTTCCTTAAATTGTTTTACTATACATTACAATAAAATAATTAAGGACTAGCATACCTTGTTAATTTTATCTTCTTGTGATAATTTAACGGTTTAAATTTAAATTTAAGACAGGAACATAGTTTTGAAATATGTAGTTAAAATGAAAACACATGATTAAAAATATATTGTTTTAATTTTAAAGTTGGGTCATTGGATTATGTTTTGTACACAAGTCTTCCCATTAAAATTTACCACCCGCGCCCTTAAACAATATACCAAAATAATAAGGACTATGCTAGGATACTAAATTTTCTACCAAACAAATGACCAAATGTCTCACATGGGTGTAGGGTCCGCAATTTTGTGGACCCCACACCCATGTGAGACATTTGATCATTTATTTGATAGAAAATTTGGGACCTCTAACATTTTTCAAATAATAATTAAAATGTAATTCAGTACACAAGGTTTTCACACTGTAAGTGGTGGGTTTTGTTTTTGACGAATAGGGAGATAAGGATTTGTCTGAAAAATGCTATAAAAAATATTGTTTAATAACATGTATTTATATATGTATTTTTTAATCTTTAATATCCTCATGCTCTTGTGCCGCGGATCCTTTAATTACAAGCAATGTTAGAAATACAAAAAAAAATTAACACAACACTCATTTGAGTGAAGGACTCACACGACTCACACTTACGTGAGTATTTGATAAAATTTTTGATAAAAACCGTGCGAGTCACCGGCTGGGATTGCAATTTTGAGAAAATCTTGAAAATACAAAATGTGTTGACGAGGTGAGTCAACTCAGTTGAGCTGCACCGTGGAGGGGATGTAGGTCTTTTAAAAGACCAACCACCTGTTGCATTGTGGGTCTTTTCGCAGGTGTTTCCGCAGTACACAAGTACCCAACTCGGAGGCACTCCACCATCTCACTCACTGAGTCAACATCGCCGAGTCTCAACCTCTCATCCAAAGCACTCACTCCGTGTCCATCCTTCACCAACCTCCTCACCAACCCAACCATCTCGTCCGACCCAGGTTTACCGGTCAACAACTCCATCAACACCGCACCAAAACCATACACGTCGGACTCAGTGGACCCACCAACTTGGTCTTGACTCAATCCGAAATTGGTGATTCGGGGTTCAAGGTCGTCGGCAAGTAAGATGTTGGAGGCCACCAAGTGGCCGTGAACCACCGGCTTTGACCGCGCGTGGTGGAGGTAAGCGAGTCCACGGGCAATACCTACGGCGATGCGGTGGCGCGTGCGCCATTCCATCTTTCCTAGTGAAGATATGTGGGACCTACTATCTTCGATGTTGTTATGCTGCCACGTGTCAGTGCTCCAATCCTCCACGTTGGGGGCCATAGTTGGGAGCTCGTGAAGCCATTGGTGCAAGTCACCATTGGCCATGAACTCGTACAATACTAGCTTCTCTTTACCTGTACAATACATGTTTACATTGGCATCAAATTCTTTCAATTATCTCGAATTTGTGAAGAAAAAGAAATAGAAAAAGTAAATGTAATAAAAGCTATATATATATATGTCAAAAAAAATCTATTTTTTTACCCTATATATGACTAATCATATTTTTCACTCATTTTACATTTTACATGATATATATAATACGAATAATGGATTGAATTCTTTTAGGTAAAACTAAAACCATCTCCATTATATATCATACTTCAATACTAAAAAGAACAACACTACATCAACAACAACAACAACAAAAATGTACACAATGTTGTGACACTCTTTATAGTTCTATCATTTTAAATGTAAAAATCCAATTGCTTGTGCTCATAATTTATTCAAAAAAAAAAATGTCATACTTACATCACTGTATAAATTTTCATAACTTTTACAGCAATTTTATATGTGAACTTTTTTTTCTTTTCTTTTTTTTCACTATACAACGATAGTAAACTCACAGGACCCACTAATATTGGTGGAAAGAAAATTTTCATATTTATAAAAATAGAATTGTATTTGTCTGTCATTTTGTTAAAGGGCTAGACTTGTCTCTAGTCGACACCATGGACTTTCAATTCAGTCTCCTCTTAGGAGTTGTTTGGTGTAGTTTATTTGAGTTGTTTATAATTTTTTTTTATTTATTGTAGAAGTCTGTTTCAGTCTGCTTGGTGCAAGATTTTTGGTAAAAATAATTTAAATATACTAAAAAAGTTAATATTCAAAAACTGATTAGGAGGTGTTTTTGACTTTTAATTTTAAATTATCAACTTTTAATCTAAAATAAGTTCACCAAACAACACCTTAAGCCTTGTTTGGAAATAAGTTTTTTTAGTAACTTTTTGACTAAAATGTGATATAAAAAAAATTAATATGTTTGAGATGACTTTTTGATTTTTTACGAAAACATGTGCAAAAAATAGAGAGAAAAGAGAATCTTTGACTTTTTGGTATCAGTTGTTGGCTTTTTAAATTTTTTTATAATTTTTTGACTTTTTAACTAAAAAAATCACTTGCTAAACGAGACCTTAATCTATTTTGTTCACAAGGCTGGACTTGCCTCTAGTAGACGCAATGGACTAACAACATGCTAAAAACACAGCTTTTAGTTTTTTTAGCCAAAAAAGTTAACTTTTTTACCCAAGTCATTACCAAAAAAGTTTTTTAGCTAAAAAAGTCAAAAGTCAACTTTTTACCAACTTCCTAAAATACTAGTCTAGTCTAGTCTTAGTCTAAGTGTGGGATAAATTTAATTTAAAATTGAATGATTTATTTTTTTTAAAAATAAATATAATAATATTATATGACAGTAATTATCAAATTAATTTAATTTAATTTTTACAAATAATTTACCAATAAAAATGTTAAAAATTAATAAATTAAATAACCAAAAGTCAATCCATGGTGGGACCATTGACCCGAACCAAACAGTTCAAGCACTCGAGAAGAGAAAGCCGGATTGATCAAGTAACCGACTACTTTGAAAGCCATGCCTAGAACAACCAAGAAGAATGATTTTTATTTTTTTTTTTAATAAAATGGCAGCCCTAATAAGTCTGACCAGAGGAATGTGTTGTGACTTCTAAGACGAAAGGCACAGGACAGTGCTATGAGGGTTCGTGGTTTTTTTTGTTTTTTTAAGTTCATGGTTTCGAATCATTTATATTAAATAATTTAATTTTTTTTTTATTGTGAATTTTAATTTAAGAAAAGTTCTAAATTCACGTTTCAAACAAGATTTATATCTTTTTTAATTATTCAATACAAATTTATATAGTCATAGTTTTTTTTTACCAATCACAATCAGTGTGTTTAGTTTGAGTTTTCTAGATTAAGTTTTTTGAAAACTAAATTTTTTAATTTTTGTGTTTTTTGTTTTTAGTGAATATTTTTAAAATTTAAAATATTTTTTTATTTTTTTAGATACACCTTACTTAGATGTATCTAAAAAGTAAAAAATTTGTGAAAAAATATTTTAAAAAAATAATAAATACATAAAAATATAAAAAATGTACTGAATTTTTGTATTTTTTTTATATTTTTGGTATTTAGTGAATTTTTAAAAGATTTTTTTTATAATTTTTTTATTTTTTAAATATATTTATGTTAAACTAACCAACGAATAACTTCCCCAGATGAGATGAGATCAGATTAGATTTACGTGACAAAACATTGATACGGACTACGAGAACTCAGATCACCACCATTGAATCACGTGAACCCCAATTTAATGCAAGAGGTCAAAGCACTCCAAATCAAAACCCAAAACAAAATTTTTGAAAGTACAATACCTGCAATGCAGTATCCAGAAATGGGCAACAAGTTGGGATGCCTAACCCTAGCCAAGTCTTCAAACACTGCCACAGCTTCATCACAATCAACGGCTCTGATCTTCTCCAGCACCTTGATCGCCACGTGTAGCTCACCCGGCAGCACAGCCCTGTACACTGGCCCACACCTCCCCTCATCCAACAATGATTCTTTGCCGAAGTGTGACGTGGCAGCAATCAGGTCCTTGAAAGTGAGGTTCATCAATGGCTTCTCAAACATCACCACCGGGGCTGATGATGGTTCTCTGAGGTCTACAACCCATGATGATCCTGACTCGGTTTCGAAACTGAACGGTCCTGATTTGTCCGTCTTGTAAGGTATTTGAATGGGTAGAGAGATTAACCATTTGTTCTTCATTCTAGCCTTCTCTCTCTTCCTGTACATGCAATACATAGCCACGACAGCAGCCAAAACAATACTTGATGATGAAACTGACAAGGCCAAGATCAGAGCTCTGTTTTTTGATGATTTGGGTCTCTGTTTCTTGATGGGTTTGTGATTTTTGGGTGTTTTGTTAGGTGGGTTTGTGTTGAAATTGAAATCACCAGCATGAACAAAAGCAGAGTTTCCAAATCTTTGAACCATGTTTGGACTCATTTGACCATTGAAACTGTTGAATGAGAGATTCAAGAATTTGAGGCCAAAGAGAGGAGGAAAATCAGAGGGAAAAAAACCAGTCATTTTGTTGTTTGACAAATCCAAGTGATTCAATGAGTGAAGAACCGAAATGGGTTTTGAATTTCCTTCGATTTGGCAGCTTGAGATGTCAAGATATTGAAGATTGGTTAGATTACTGAACCCAAAAGGCAAGACTTTAAGATCATTGTGAGAGAGGTCAAGAACAGAGAGGTTAGGGAAAGCAGAGAGGTTAGCCAAGTTGGTGAACCTATTGGATGACAAATTGAGCACCTGGGTTGAAGAAGATGGGACCATATCTGAAGTGGGTTCGAACTCAATCGACCCTCCAAACCTGTTCTTAGCCAGATTGACGTGAGTGAGAGTCTTGATGAACCAGAACCAGCCTGGAACAGAGCCTTGGAGAGAGTTGTTGGAGAGGTCAATTGAATTCAACTGGGAGAGGCTTCTGAGGAAGTTCCATGAGAGAGTGCCAGAGAGGTTTCTTGATGAGAGGTTTAGGGATGTGATTGGAGGGTTTGGGCAACTAGTGTTGGGGTGATTGAATAACATAGAGGGATTGAAACCTGAGACTGAGCTGAAAGCTTTGGAGATTAGTTGTTGGTCTGTGGTGTTGCATGAGGATTCTCCAAATGTGAGAAGTGATGTGATGAGGATGAGTTTGAGGATGATTTCCATGTTCTAAGTTTGTAGTTTCAACTGATTGGAGTTGTTTTGAATTTCATGTTAGAGAGAGAGAGAGAGAGAAAGAGAGAGGTAGCTTGAGCTGTGGGCAATTTTTGTGTCAATGATACAGAGGAAGAAGAACGGAGGCGGAAGGAAGAGAGATATACATAGAGGTGTTGGAGCAGTCCAACACTATCGCTGGCATTTTGCCTAATAAAAACTAGCTTGGCACCGGAATAATTATAAATATTTATATTTATTTTAAATTTTTTTTAATATATAAATTATGTTTTTTAAGATTTTTTATAAAAATAATTTAATAATTTTATCATTAATTATAGTGTATGAGAGAAGTTAAAAAAAGTACTGCAGTAACTATATACAGATTGCATTTATAGTTATTTATATGAAGGGATTTTAAATGCTGATCAGGAGATTTTGACCAAATCAATAAATGCAGGCATGTGGATTGAAAAAAATTAATAAATGCTGATTAGGAGATTTTGACCAAATTAATAAATGCTGAGTTTTTTTTTTAATAAAAAATTTAGAAAATTCAAATTGAGATATTGAAACTCCCACAGGCCTTGGGGTTAAAAACTCCCTTTTGCTTAAAAAACCCCTTGAGTGCTTATATTTATCTAACTTCAATTATATTAAAAAATCAAATTATAAACAAAATGAGATAATTTCATTCATACAAATCACATTTTTTTTTAATACTATCTAATTACAATCACATTTTTCTCATAATAATAAAAAAATAATTGAAAAAAAGAACTATTAAAATAGTAAATAAAAATATTATTTAGAACTATTGAACAAATTACAATTACATTTTTCTTTTTGTAAGTGTTTATATTTATCTAATTTCAATCATATTAAAAAAATTAAATTATAAATAAAATGAGATAATTTCAATCATCCAAATCACAATTTTTTTAATACTATCTAATTACAATCATATTTTTCTCATAATAACAAATAATAATAGAAAAAAAAACCATTAAAATAGTAAATAAAAATATTATTTAGAGCCATTGAACAAACTACAATCACATTTTTTTTTTTGTGAGTTAACTTCAATCATATTAACAAATCAAATTATAAACAAAAGGAGATAACTTCAATCATACAAATCACAATTTTTTTAATGCTATCTAACTACAATGACATTTTTCTCATAATAAAAAAAATAATTAAAAAAATAACCATTAAAATAGTAAATAAAAAAGAGTATTTATAACTATTGAACAAACTATAATCACATTTTTCTTTTTGTAAGTGTTTATATTTATCTAACTTCAATCATATTAAAAAATAAAATTATGAACAAAAGAAAATAGAAAAATGATTTGGACCTCTAAAAAAACACCTCTAATGTACCTCTAATTTGTCTTTTTCTTCTCCTATTTTTGTCTTTTACTTCACTTTTTTTTTTTTTTTTTTTTTTTTATTTTTTTATTCCCGGACAGCTCATTAGAGCTGTATGGAATGACCTCTAATTAGAGGTCTCTAGCAAGATTGTTTTAATAATTAGAATTACCTTTCAAATAATGATTGTTCATCATTTATGATTATCTATAAAAAAAATATGATAATTTGACATTTATTTTAATTTTTAAAACTTTAAAACATCAATTTCAAATTGAAAAAAGTAAAAAAAAAAAAATTATGTAAATTTCAAAATACAATCTAATCATCATCAATAATTGGTACATTATGTGACCCTTATGAGTACAATCCATTTTGTTTTTCAAAAAACACAGTGAGTTAAAAATCAAATTACAAATTAAGTGAATTGATAGTTAAAAAAACACAAAAAAAAATTTCAAAAAACATAGTGAGTTAAAAAAATCAATTGCAATTTTTTTTTCAAAATACAATCTAATCATTATCAATAATTGGTACATTAAAAATCAAATCAGAAAAAAATCAAATCAAATCACAAATATTTTTATGCTATCTAACTACAATCATATTTTTTTCATAAATAATTGTAAAGAAAAACCATTAAAACAGTAAATAAAAGATTAAATCACATTAAAAAAAAGAACCATTGAACAAACTACAATCACATCACTTTTTTCTCATAATAAATTAAATAAATAAATAAAAAAAAGCATTGACTAACTACAATCACATTAAAAAAAAAAGAACCATTGAACTAACTACAATCACATTTTTTTCTTTGTGAGTGTTTATATTTATCTAATTTCAATCATATTAAAAATAAAATTAAAATAGTAAATAAAAAGATTAAATAACATTAAAAAAAATCATTGAATTAACTACAACAATCACATTAAAAAAAAGAGCCATTAAACAAATTACAATCACATCACATTTTTCCTATAATAAAATAAATGAATGAAAAAAAAGAGCTATTAAACTAATTACAATCACATTAAAAAAAAAGAATCATTCAACTAATTATAATCACATTTTTCTTTTTGTGAGAGTTTATATTTATCTAATTTCAATCATATTAAAAAATCAAATTATAATTTTTTATTCGTTAGACAAATCACAAATATTTTTATGCGCTACCTAACTACAATATTAAAACAGTAAATAAAAAGAAAAGTCAAGAAGGAGAAAATAAAAAGAAGACTTACTGTTTGTATACGTGGTCACTGAAGTTGAAAGTGTGGAAGTGAGAAGTCAAGAAGGAGAAAACAAAAAGGAGACTCATTGTTTGCAATAGGTATGTAAAAAGTTAAATAAAGTGTGTGTATTGGAGAAGTTAAAAAGACTTGGAAGAATTTAATAAGTGCTAAGTTTTTTTTTTCAAAAAAAATAAAAAAAAAAATTAAGAAATTAAGGTTCAGATATTGAAACTCTCACAAAATTTGTGGATTAGAGATAGATATAAATAAATAGATAGATATAGATATTTATATTTGTTTTAAATTTTTTTTAATGTACAAATTATTTGTTTTGGGAAAAGTACTGCAGTAATTATGAGAGAAGTCAAAAAGTCTTGTGGGTTGAGAAAAGTTAATAAATGCTAAGGTTAATTTTTTTTTTAAAAAAACAAAAAATTAGAAAATTAGGATTGACATATTGGAACTCTCACAGGCCTTGGGGGTTAGAAACCCCATTTTGCTTAATATATAGTATATAAACTAGCATATCACCCGTGCTATACACAGGATAATTATAGATATTTATATTTGTTTTAATTTTTTTTAATATATAAATTATGTTTTTTAAGATTTTTTATAAAAATAATTTAACAATCTTATCACTAACCATAGTATACATGAAAAATTTAAAAAACTACTGCAGTAACTATGCACCGGCTGTATCTATAATTATTTGTATGAGGGGATTTTAAATGCTAATCGGAGATTTTGACAAAATCAATAAATGCAGGAATGTGAATTGGAAAAAGTTAATAAATGCTGATCAGGAGATTTTGACCAAATCAATAAATGTTGAGATTTTTTTTTTAAATCAAAAATTTAGAAATTAAGATTGAAAGATTAGAGCTCCCACAAGGCTTGGAGTTTAGAAACCCATTTTTTCTTAATATATTTACAATTATCTATATATGTGAATAGAGATTTTTAAATGTCTTTTTTTTTTTTTAAATGTCTTCTTTTTTCCCAACGATGTCGCAATTTTGGTCCGTAGGACCATATTAGTGCCTGCCTGAACACCGCTGGAGGAACAAACCAGGAGGTGGACAAACTTGTGCTTGCGGTCCTCTTGGTCAATAAGGTGGAATGTTGGGACTGTTTT